TGGTCACTACTGGAAAATCTCCCGTCACGCACACCCGTGAGGCTGGGCCTGTCTGCTCCGCGGGAGGGAGCTGGGCTTGGTGCACAGCAGTGCTGGGAATGAGGGCTGCCTCTTTCGTCTAAGTTGGTAAAAGACTCTCTGGAAAGTGCTGCGCTTGTATTGCACGCAGCAGTGTGTGCGTGTGTGTGTGCTGTGAGGGTACACAACCTTCGTGATAAACATCACCCCCTGCCCCCAACGTCTGCGAAGCTGGGTCCTCCGCTGCTCCCTTGTGCTGTGCGTCTCTCTGTGCGCGCGTGTGTGTGCGCGTGCGTGTCTGTCCTGCACGAAGACGTTTCTGCGTGGCCCTTTCCTCTCGCCTCTGCGGCTCTTCCCTACCGGTCCACTAGCCTGCAGCGAATCCCAACACACCCGGGCTGCGCTGGTCCCGACACCCGGAGCGGCAGCTGCTTCACAGCTTCATACCCCGTTAGCAGTGTTTTCAGGCTTTCTTCAGGAAGTGACGTGTACATTTATCTCTCAAGAGCTACAGGAGTTGGGATTTTCATCCCAAAATCCTCCCTTTTCCTCCTGGATTTTCATAAAATACTCCATTCCAGGCATCCAGGCCCTTCGGTGGTTTGAACGCACTCTGAAGAGGAGCTGGACAGGCACCCTCTGGGTTCAGGGCCTGCTTGTGGAGGTTATAGAGGAGCTGGACTGCTCTGTGCATCTCTGTAGCAAGGCAGTGTGGGAAACCTTGGGGTGAGGGCGCCCCCTTCTGTCTGCAGGCGCCGAACTACCACCCTCCCCAAAGCCGCCGTGGCCGCCGCCGCCACCCCCCTGCCCCCCGACTCCCCCACTTTCTCCCCTGTCACGTTTTGTACAGTACAGCTACCAATAAACTGATCAGGAACAGCTGGCGTGAGCCCTGGGTCTTTATTCCTCCAGGGGGGCGTGTGGACAGGACGGGGCGGAAAGTGCGCTCGTTCGGGAACTCGCTGTTCTGTAAACGCGCTGGTGCGTTTCTATAAACTGACGCATTTCTGGGCTGCGGCCGTGAGCCAGGTAATTGAATTACTCACCACCAGGGCTCTCATCAGTTTAATTGATTTAAGGTCAGAGGGTGCTAACGATGTGGGAAGGGCATGTTCTCGGAGGCGTGTTACTTGTCTGGAAACGTGCGGCGAACCAGGATGAATGAGTGAATGACATCACGCTGCCGGATGACTTGACTGCGGTGAAGGTGAGTGGTGTTTTTTCACTTCAAGAACTACATTGCACCGCTGGAGTACAGTTTTGACTTGGGACTTCATTTTGTCACTGAATCTGCACACACCTGTTTTTCTTGGTACACACAAAAGACCAGACATGGCTGTGATTTGTGTTTTAAGAGCTCGGGATCCACTTAAATCCTGGAACGGCAAGGCAGGTCATCCTGAAGCGACCTGCAGTGTGTTTGACAGTGATGGACTGTCTACTTCAGCGGCCGCAGA